AAGCAAGGTCCAGTTTCAGATCTGGTTTGTTGAAGAATGTCAGGGAGAAGCTTAAAGGAATGAGCAAAAAGGAGGCAATTGAACAGGTGATTGCCAAGAGCAATGCAAGCAAGAAGAAACTTTCAGCAATCTTCAAGCCATCAGCAAAAACAAAGCCATCCTTCTTAAAGAAAGTCGCGAAGAACATAGCAAAGAAGCACCATAAAGACCACAAGGAAAAAAAGGAGGCAGACAAGATGATTCCAGCAGCATTGAAGGATGCAAAGGACAAGGCAAAGGAGGAAGCAATGGTTGAAGTTGATGGGGAAATGGTTCTTTGTAGAATTGTTGAAGAAAGTGAAGGAAAAGGTAAGTATGGCAAAGAAGGGATGGTTGCAAAGGCTTGCTTGGGGTTTGATGGGGATGAGCAGTGCGCAGTCATTTCAGACAAGAACCAACAGTTGATTTGCAAAGTTTCCAGTATTGTCAAAAAGGATGCAGACTGGCTTCCAGTCAAGGAGTGGGTGCCTTTCACAAAGCTTTCTAGACAGAGGAAAGGTGAATCCCTTTTCATGATGGGCTTGAAGCCAGAACCCTTTGCAGACAATGGAGATGATTTGATAGACCTTCCAAGCCATGATGAAAACTTTGAGTCTCAGCATATGCTACTTGGCTTTGAGCTTTTGAGGTGGCAATTCCAGGACTACATGAAAGAGGTGGCCTTCATAGATCCATTTCTGACCTCAATGTATTTGAGAGGGGAGGATGTTCCACAAAGACCTATCTTGAAGAAAAGGATTGAAAGCTTTGGGGAATCAGATTCGCGTTTGCTTCTTTGTCCAGTTTGGAGCAATGAGACAGTGTTCCATTGGACACTACTTACAGCTGAGAGGCTTGACAAGAGTCAGAAGTGGACTTTCAGGTACAGGGATACCCTAGCAGCCCTTCCAGAAGATTGCAGACAGAAGGCTTCCATTATAGCCAGCCTCCTACAGAAGGAAGAGGTTTCTTTGAAGGCCTGCAACCATTTCCAGCAAGTTGGAAGCACATGTGGGCTTTGGACTCTTGCATACATGATGTCAGAGGTTTGCAGCTTGTTTGAAGGCTTGGCTTCCAGAGGGCACCCAGAGATTGCCTCATTGAAGGCCAAATTTACAGCTTGGTGGCATCAACTTGCAGCAGAGAAGAAGAAACTTCAAGAAAGCAAAGAAACACTTGAAGGGAAGGCCAAAAAGATTTCAGACCAGCAAGAGAAATCAAAGCAAAAGGCATTGGATCTACTCAACAAGTTGAAGAATCATACCAGTGCTGCAGCCATTAAAGCCCAAGAGATGCTTGAAGCCAACAGCAAGTACTTCAAGCTGCAGCATTTGAGCGAGGATTCAAGGTACAAGATTGAAGCAACCATCTCAAAGGGAAACATTTGTTCCAAGTGCAGGTGGAACAGTGGGTGTTTACAGTGCCACCCAGGCAAAGCTTTGAAGTACTATTGGAGCAAAGAGGCACACACAAAGAACCTTGTTCCAGGTCCAGAGCTTCCAAAGAATTGGGAATTTCTTTCAGGAGACAGGGGATGAAAACAAACACCAGCACAGCACCAGCAAACACCAGCAACACAAACACAAACAACACAAATTTCAATGGACATCTGCTTCCAAAGACCTTCAAAAGCATCAAATCCCAATGGAAATCTATAAAAGTTCAATGGAAATCTGCAGCCAAAGACCTTCAAACTCATCAAATCTCAATGGAAATCTCTAAATTTCAAAAGAAATCTGCATCCAAAGACCTTCAAAATCATCAAATCCCAATGGAAAACTATAAAAGATCAATGGAAATCTGCTTCCAAAGACCTTCAAAATCATCAAATCCCAATGGAAATCTCCATCCAAAAGCCTCCAAAAGCATCAAATCTCAATGGAAATCTCCAAAATTTAAATAGAATTCTCCATCCAAAAGCCTCCAAAAGCATCAAATCTCAATGGAAATCTTCAACTGTTTAATAGAAATCTCCATCCAAAAGCCTCCAAAAGCCTCCAAAAGCATCAAATCTCAATGGAAATCTCCAAATGTTTAATAGAAATCTCCATCCAAAAGCCTGTAAGATAAGCAAATCTCAGCAAACTCAAAAGGGAAAAAGTAAACTATAACAATAAAAAATATCCCACTACAACTATCCCTCCCCCAAAAAAAAGACATTATTCTGGGGGCCTTTATTAATCTGTGCAGGAAAAAAAGTGTCACTATTCTGGGGTACTTTATTAATCCAAGGACTACATTAGTGGGAATGTCAAACGGGTAACTGAAGCCGAGGTGTTTGGGATGGTTTGGGTGTGTTCTGCTTTGCTGAACTACGGAGACTACAGGGATCAAGGATGACGGTTTGATCTCCTGACTAGAGAGAACAGAAGTGCGTTGTTTTGGGATAAAATTCGTTTGGAGACCTATATACAGTCAGGGACAGACAGTTAGAATACAAAATCAAAAAATTAGGTTTAGATATTTAAATTGGGACCTCCGACAGCGATGGGGGGCAGATTTGCAGTTAGAATACGAGTGCAGATAGAATATACTAAATCAACAAAATCAACAATGAAACTATACCTACACCTTAAATACGTTTGTAGCCTCTGAAAAGCTACCTTTCTGTGAAAACTCAGGTACAGTACAGTATTGTATATCTTAGGAGATCTGTTGAAAACTATGTTGTAAACCACGTTGTACAGTATATTTAAGATGAAATAAGCAGGATGCGCTGCACAATCGCTGACTTATCTGATCTTACTTACAGTACAGTGAGTCTTGGTACAGGGAGGGCGTGCTGTGTTGAATAGACTCAGGTGCCATGACCAGCAAATACTTTTTCATGCAGCATTGTTTTGTCAAATGTGTTCTCGATGTCTTGCAAACATATTGTAAACTGCTGCGTAAATAGCGCAGTTAGAATATGCATGGAAGTAACCGCTTCCAGTGAGGAAAACAGAAGTCACAAGCACACATACACTGCAAGAGCGTATAGGAGCAGGAACACGGCAGTCAGCGCACAGCAGCCATGTTACGCTTCGAGAGAGACGTTCCCAACGCAAGAAAGAATAGAATGATATACTGCATGTCAGCATTGCACTATTGCAGTCAGCACTCGCAGTCAGCATTGCTTTGCCTTGTGTGAATAGGTCATTGCATTGCTTGTGCATGGTTTGCTTGTAATTTGGTGCAGTTGGAATTGACATGCACTGGTATTTGTGTGGGTGAAACTCAAATTTGGTAGAACTTTAATTCTTAAGCGCGGACCGTGACAGAACTTTCATTCTTAAGGTTGACACCTATATTATACGTGTTTAAAGCAAAGCAAGCTGCAGATAGTGCAGTTAGAATATATTTCCGGTTACACTACTGTAGCTGTAGAATAAGCCTTCGGCAGCTCAAAACCCAAGGTTGTTGAAGAGAAGGCAACACTATGCCGGGCCGAGTGAGAATGGCCACCATCGCCGGCTTCTAGTTCATCCTCTTTTGAGCTCCTCGACTCACCAGCATCCAACAAGTCTGATTCGACAGACTATGACTATAAGCTCGCCAGCCCAGGCGGACGCCGTACAAGAGTACTGATGTCAATGAGGAAGCAGAAATCCGAGGGTAAGCTTCGGAAGCTTCGACTTGAAATGCGCAGGGCTTTGCTGGAACAAACCCTGGACAAAGCTGCGGACCAGAGTTGCAACAGTAGATACTGCAGTCCTGGAAGTTTGCAGTCATGCTTGTGCTACAGGGATACAATACTGTATGTACAGTACAATGCACCCACCTGTATTGCTGCCCGCTACTTCAAGCACCCTACTGCTGACAAAATTGGGTTGGATTGTGGGCAGCAGTTGTAAGACCATATGGAATTGCATATTTTGTAGTACTACTGTTAAGATAATAGCCATAGCTTTAAGAATGTATCCAAACAGCGCAGATAGAATATAGACTGCTCCACGTGCAGGAGAAGAGCTGGGCAGATGCAGATGACGAGGATGGCTTCTTGCGCGCGGATGGGACGGATGACGAGGAGTTCGAATCTGGTGGAGAAGCCGATGAGGTTGAAGGCCAGACATCTTTGACATTGCATTGAGGCCAATGTTCGTGGCTCGCCGGGAAGATGGAGTTCTGAGGCCGTTCACTACACAGAAGTGGCAGCTCCCACTGGAGGAGTTGTGGAAGAGGCCTTCTGTGAGAGCCCTGGAGCGTGGGCTGCTTGGGAAGCATAGACCCTCCACAGGGCGGAGGAAGAAGAAGAAGGGAGATGGAAAGTGAGAAAAACGGTGTGTTGTTGGAGTTCGGACGCTGTGCTTCAACAAATTCGCGTCGCGTTTTCGTTCCGTTGCAGTTTACACACTGTACCTACATACATACCGTACAAAGTACAACGCCTGACTGCGCAGCACAACAACAAAACACAATACAGTACTGTAAACAATCCAGCTTCAAGCGTTTCTCGACCCAGAAGTTTCAGAACAGCAGCAACAGCAAAAATCAAAACGACCATATGAGGTTGTAAGACCATATGGTATTTACAGTGCAAAGCGACCCCAAGAGCTGCCACACATATCAAGACTGTATCAATTACATACATTGCAGTATTCTGATCACATGTGATAGCTGCATATTCATCCGACGTGCAAGAGATCAAGAAACAACCGCAACCATACAGAAGACAGAAAACAAAGAAAAAAAGGATGCGCATCAAATCTGCAGCTACCGGCTGCTAATTTCTTGGCCGTCTCTTCTCCATAAGGCATGTTCCAACTGCATTCTTTGCCTAACATGAAAAATCATCAAAAATCATAAAGCATATTCTAACTGCGCTCCGCCAAAAACATCTTGGACTTACATTTTTTCATATTCTAACTGCATTTCAATATTTTTGGCATATTCTAACTGTTTGTCCCTGATAGTATAATTGTTTGGAAACCTATTTTGCGGAGACATTTGTGAGCTTCTGATTCGGCTGAGCTTCTGGAGCGTCCAATCCACCGCTGCGACAGGGATTCACCGAGTTGGATTTGTCCGATGCGGAGAAGCAAACGGTGAGGCCCATCAATCTCGAGGCCGTTCTGATGGATCTGGGTCCAGTGGCAAACAGGTGTCCAGTGATGGTTGCCGTGTTTTCAAGATGCGGGCCCCAGCCCAGTGGATGACATAGGTGTTTTTATATTGGTTGGCTGATTACCAGAGAGGATACCCCGAAGGCAACAACCAATTGGTACCAGACTCGCTGTGTTGATCCTCAGGTCGGACATCATTGAGTGGATGTGTGACGGCCCATGGGTGTGACCCCTTTCTTAAGCTCTTTTTTTCACCTGTCCAAGTCCGAGTTCGAAGACAGAGTTTCTTTATTGCCGAATTCGAAGATGTAGTCGGTTCGTGTGTTCTTTTGATGACGACATGGATGGGGGATCACAAATTTTTGCACTGTGAGAATCTGCAGATGCAAGCATCTATGTGACTCGATTCCGATCTCACAGTAGTTTCAGGTGATAAACAACAAATACGAATCTGAGCAAAGACCAGTGCACAACTGTTAATGCTTCGAAGATGAATTGGACATTCTTTGTATTTGAATGGGAGAAGACCTAGAATTTAGAAGGAGAAGGAGCGGGAAAACAAACGAAGGAAAACGAGGGAGAAGCAGGAGAAGTGGGAGAAGAAGCACACATGGAAGAAGAGGATAGAAGAGGGAGGAGGAGGAGAAAGAGAAAGGGAGAAGAGCGTGAAGAATTAGAAGGAGGAGAAGAGGCATAAAAAAGCAGGAGAAGATGGGAGGGAGAAGAGAGAAAGTGAGAACAACGGTGGGAGGAATCCATCTCCGTCACCACAAACAAGCATCCCAGGTCAACAAGATTTAACTCTATCATACAGTGGGCCACCCACATTCTATGTCTGTTTCCTTCATGCCCGTGGGGAAAACATGGGCGAGGCCTTGAGCATGGAAAGAGTTGGATTCGGCACCCAATTGTTCCTGTATTTGGCATGCACGTCAAGCCACGGACCCTCGTGGGTAAGCTGGGCCTGGCTTGGAGTTGTGCAAGCTGGGTGGGGCATAGAGGTCTTCTCACTCGTCATGGGCACTGGTGCCATAGAGGTGTTGTGGCTCGACATGGTCACGATGCAATGGACTTGCACCAGACTGCATGCTTAGCCAGACTGCTGGGATGATCGCAGCGATCATGCTAGAGGATTTGTGAGCAAAGTAGATTGACACATGAATCCCTTCCCAACACGTGTTGGAGTGCCCTTTTGAATATGGAAAAAGAGCCGGACCTGCACACTGCAGACACTTCTTTTTCAATACATATCGACACACCACGGTCACCGCGGCTGAGGGTGTGTGAGTCATCCTCGCTCAGGCTTTGCAGAGCAGTGATCCCATGGCCTGTGAGCAGGAGACCTCAGTGGGAGACCTCGCGTGAGACCTCCGTCCAGTCCGCGTCGCTCCCCCCAAGTGGTGAAGCTCCCCAGATGGCCATTTGCCCAAGGTGGATCCAGGCAAAAAGAGATCGCAGGTTAGAACTTCGAACGAAGGATCAGGACCTGCGCCACAAAAGAATGACGGTCCACTTGTCAACAAGCGACGGTCTTTTGAATCTAGTTTCAGCTCTGAGTCTGAGGAGATTTGGATCGGTCAAGAGTCAAGATCTGGAAAGCCGGCGCCATGTTCAGTCCCTTCTCTGAGTCCTCAAGCTTGATGGTGTGAAACATCTGTCCCAAAGATGGTTTAGTGGAGAAGGGCACTGTGGAAGAGTTGTTTACACCAATTCTCGGAGGCTTCGACCTGCGGCCCACGCCAAAGGGCGGAATGAGACCACCAGACTTCGTGACTTCGGTATGAGCAGTTCGATCACCATATTCCAAGACGGTTTATGTCAGGTTCATGTCAACCGTTGATCCTTCTTTCTTCAAAGACCGGGGACGCGGCTTTTCGACGCGCTTCCAGACGCTCAGCGATCTGATCCGTTGCCGCCATGGAGCACGTGGTATTCATCAACTTCCCGGCGACCGGGCACATGAACCCCACCCTGCCTCCTGGCGGTTTTATGCAGATTCAGGTGACGTTTTGGTCCTTTATCCATATGGTTATAAATACCTGTACCTGGGGAATATACCAGGACCCCCAAGGGGTGGTTAATGGACGCCCTTTAGATTATCAAAGGAAGTTTAGTGTACGAAACTTCCGTGTTACGGACATTCAAGAACCACTCATACACCACTGATCATACACCACTCATCAATACACCACTCATCATACACCACTCATCAATACACCACTCATCATAC